ATTTGAGGCTTTCGGCTCGATCGGCCCAATGACATCCATACCCTAAGTAATGAACGGCCAAGGTGCTGACATAGGATGCAACTCTGAGGGCGGTGCATGAATCAGGTCACCGTGTATCTTACACTGATGACACTTCCGGATAAAACTGAAACAATCCTTTTCCATGGTCATCCAGTAATACCCTGCCTGCAGGATTTTCTTTGCAAGGACATATCCGTTTATATGGGGCCGCATACTCTTGAATGCACTTCGTTCATGATCTTTTCAGCTTCTTTGGCATCCACACACCTTAGCAGATTCTAATCTGGAGTTCTCTTATACAACATTTCTCCGCTTAAGAAGAAACTGCTGGCGAGCCTTCTGATGGTTCTCTTTTGGTCTCCACTGGCCTGCTCCGGGTATTCTTTTATTTTCAAGAACCTTTTAATATCATGATACCATGGCTGGACATTAGGTTCTACTTCAACCGCATTGCAATAACCATGTCTTTCTTCGATTTGAATCTCCAACGGGTCAATACGGACATTACCCGGATATGGAAGCATTGCAGCTAAGGTAGCTAATGCGTCAGCTAACTCATTGTGGAATCGAGGAATATACCTGAATTCAATGAATTTGAACCGTTTGCTAAGATCTTCCACATGTTGTCTATATGGGATAAGCTTGATATCTTGAGTTTCCCATTCGCCTTATGCTTGCCGAATGATCAAATCAGAGTCTCCCATGATTAATAATGCCTCTACATCCATATCAATTGCCATGTTCATGCCCATTATACAAGCTTCATATTCAGCAGTGTTGTTTGTACAGAAGAACCGAAGACGGGCGGTGGCCGGATAGTGTTGTCCCGTGGGCGGAATCAAAATTGCCCCAATCCCAACACCCTTCGCATTTACAGCTCCATCAAAAAATATTTTCCAAGTCTTAGTGTCTTCTGGGATTACCTCAACTGAGTTTACTTCCTCGTCCGGGAAATAAGTGCTTAAGGGTTGGTATTCATCATCAACTGGGTTCTCAGCCAAATGATCGGCCAAGGCTTGGGCTTTCATGATCGTGCGAGTGACATAGACAATGTCGAACTCTATGAGCAGGATTTGCCACTTCGCTAGCCTTCCCGTGGGCATCGGTTTTTGGAATATGTATTTTAGAGGGTCTAATCTAGTTATGAGATATGTGGTATAGGACAACAAATAATGTCTAAGCTTTTGAGCAACCCAAGTTAAGGCATAACAAGTTCTTTCCAGCAAAGTGTATTTGGCTTCATAACCAGTAAATTTCTTGCTCAGATAGTAGATGGCTTGCTCTTTCTTTTCGGTCGCATCATGTTGCCTGAGGACACAACCAAAAGAATTCTCCAAGACCGTTAGGTACAGGAACAAAGGTCTTCCAGGCTCAGGCGGAACCAGCACCGGCGGATTTGACAAATGTTCTTTGATATTGTCAAAAGATTCTTGGCATTCATGTGTCCATTTAATCGCCGCATCTTTCTGTAGCAACTTAAATATGGGCTCACATGTGGTCGTAAGATATGCAATGAACCGGCTGATGTAATTCAATCTTCCCAGCAAGGTCATGACCTCGTTCTTGGTTTTCGGAGGTGGCAGATCTTGGATAGATTTTATCTTTGTTGGATCTAACTCAATACCCCTTCGACTGACTATAAACCCCAAGAGCTTCCCAGATGGAACTGCGAATGCACATTTAGCTAGATTCAATTTCAAATCATACCTGCGCAGGCGCTCAAAGAACTTTCTCAAATCCTTCACATGGTCTTCCTGCGTTCTGGACTTAATAATCACATCATCCACATACACCTAAATTTCCTGGTGCATCATGTCATGGAAAATGGCAGTCATAGCCCTCATGTAAGTTGCCCCGGCATTTTTCAGGACAAATGGCATGACCCTATAGCGATAAGTGCCCCATGGTGTGGTGAAAGCTGTCTTTTCTGCATCTTCTTCATCCATCAGGACTTGGTGATACCCAGCATAACAATCCACGAAAGACTATATCTCATTTTGGCGTAATTGTCGACAAGGATGTGGATGTTGGGTAACAGGAAATTGTCGTTAGGGCTTGCTTTGTTCAAATCTCTATAGTCCACACATACTCGGATCTTCCCATCCTTCTTTGGTACTGGGACTACATTGGTCAACCATGTGGTGTACTAGACTACTCGTATCACACCAACTTTTAATTGTTTGGCAACTTCTTCTTTAATCTTATCGCCGATGTCTGTTTTGAATTTTCTTTGCTTTTGTTGGATAGGTGGACGATCGGGATAAGTTGGCAACTTGTGTACCACTAGATCGACACTTAGTTCTGGCATATCGTCATAAGACCATGCAAACACGTCTTTAAATTCAAACAAAAGTTGGATCAATGCATCTTTAGTTTTTTCCTCGGCGTGAATGCTTATCATGGTCTCCCTGACCTCTTCGGAACTGCCCAAATTAACTGGCTTGGTTTCATTTAGGTTTGGCTTAGCCTTATTCTCAAATTGTTACAATTCTCGATTTCTTTCCCTAAAAGCCTCATCTTCATCATATTCTGGTTCTTGATTCATTATTTCACAGTTAGACAGCATTTTAGGATCTGGGCATGAAGTCCGCAAGCATGTCATGTTATTTAAGTCCGCATTATTAGAACTGAAAAGAGAAAGATAAGAAAAATATCAAAATCATAAAGAATAATAGGGAAAGATTCATAGATGATGAAATATTGATTTCATTTCATTGAATTTAAAGATATGAGGGTTTACATAAGAATTTCAAAAGACAACAAAAACTAAAACATTCAAGTTACACCCTGAAATAACTCGAAATACAGAAAAGATTGTAAGACTAAACTACCGGGATTCCCGCCTGACTGGGAATGGAGTAGCCTGCCAGTTTTGAAATTTAGCATTGGGTCCCATGTATTGCACCTCAGCAGTGCTCGAGCCTTCACCCGGTTGGACCATGTGGACTTCATAGAGCATTCGCCTCATTGCCTCACAGATGTCCTCAATTTCTTCGGCCGTGAAGGCCTCTTCTTCTTCTTATTCTTCTTCTTCTATATACCTTGGCTTAACAAATGACGTGGCGAGATGCGGGATTAGCTGAGGCAGGACCCATCCATTTTTCTTACGTTCATCGGGCCAGTTTTCGTCGGCACTGGTAGCTTGGAAACCTATGCCAAAGAACTTCTTGTTGGCAGCCAAGGTAACGGGTTTTGTGGCGCCTTGTAAGGATACCTCGAGCCCTTTCATGTTCTTGTACCCATGTTTGATCATCTCCCTGGCGATTATGATTGATGCGCTTGATAAACGGGGTTGAGGACATGGGATTCCTTCTTCGCACTGGTCGGCGACTACGATTTCAATGGCTTGGTAGACGATGTGTTCACTTCCCTCTCTGGCCTCCAGACATGGGACTGATGGGTCCCTGTAGATTGACTGTTCATCTTCTCCATGGACTACTATTTCTTGGTTCTCATGTTCAAACTTGACCATTTGATGTAGAGTACTCCCGCTGCATGAATCCATGGTCTTCTTAACAAAAAGTTATAGGAAGTGTCCATGTCCAGCACTTGGAATGTTACTTCGAATTCTACGGGGCCAATGTTTAGGATTAAGTCAATCTCCCCTATCGTGTCCCTCTTGACACTATCGAAAGCACACACGCAAACATTATTTGGTTTGATCCTTTCAGTCCCAATTTCCCCATCCTATGCAATGTTGATAGAGGGCAAATATCGACTCCAGACCCGCCGTCCAACATGATCCTTTTCACATAATATCCCTCACACTTGACAGTCAAGTGAAGGGCCTTGTTGTGGGCGGCTCTTTCCGGAGGCAAATCGTTTCGGCTGAAAGAGATTTGGTTGACCTCAAAAAATTGCTCTGCCATTATTTCTAACTATTTAACCGTGGTCTCAATTGGAATATATGCCTCATTCAGCGTCTTTAGAAGCATCTTTTGGTGTTCGTTTGAGCTCATCAGTAGAGACAAGAGTGAAACCTGGGAAGGGGCTTTTCTCAATTCATCAATTACAGCATACTCCGAGATTTTCATCTTCCGGAAGAATTCCTCCTCTTCTTCAGCAGTTACAGGATTTTTGAGGGAGAAACGCTTCTGCTTGGTTTTGTTCAGTTCTTCTGGGTTATGATACTTCCCAGATTGGTTTGTTTCATTCACTTCCCCCTTAACTTCCGTCCCTTTATATTTGACAATTGTCTGATTGTAGTTCCAAGGGACGATAGTAGTGTCTTTTATGGGATTTTGTGGCATGCGGCAAATGATTAAAGGCTCATCCAGCCTAGGTGGAATGACTGGCCTCCGTGCCACATAAATTCCTTTTCGTACATACATCTTTGGCAGATTTGGTGTGGTTATCCTCTGCTCCAATCTCTTAGGAGGGCTTAACATGAGTTGTCCCTTTCTGGGGGCTCTTGGGACGTAAAGAATGGCCTCTTTGGCAGGTGCTTCCTCTGTCTTTGTTTCCCCGTCCTTTTCTTCATTTTGGGGAGTGGACTTTGTCTTCTTTTCATCCCGACCCTATTTTTCCACTATTTTAGGTTTCTTTTCAGTATCAGCGATGGCAATAATGGCATTCAATGCAGGGTCAAATTCTTTATCTTCACAAATCATCCCGATGACCGGCCCGTTGTTGTGGGCCGGTAACGGGTTGTTGGTTACATTGGGTACTTCCTCGTCCCTTAGCACTACCCTCTTCTGTTCGATCAGGTTCTCGATTGGTCTTTTAAGGATCCAACAGTCCTCGGTGTCATGCCCTTCCGCCCCGGAGTGATAAGTGCACCTGGTACCTTGCATGTAGGATGGAGATTCTGGGTTCTGTCTGTTTGGAGGTACGGGCTTCAAAAGGCCCATCTGGATTAATTTTGGGAAGAGGCTGGAATACGACTCACCGATGGGTGTGAATTCAGTCTTTCTGGGTGGTTCACAGGGACAGGTGTTATATTGGTAGTTATTCTATGGAGGACATGGATTATACGGGTCTTAGTGAGGAGGGTTATTTCTTGAAAGTGGAGCTTTTTTCTTATTGTAATGTTGATGTGGCCGAGTATATGGTTGAGCATTCATTACTACATAAGGATGAGGGGCCATAGCATAGGCTGCGTCCTGGTGAGGGTAATAATATTGCGGGGCCCTGGAAGGTTGGACAGAATAATCCCGGGACCGTCGAGAACTTCTTAAGCATGAAGCCATTATGGCTCCCTCTTCTTTCTTTTTCCGGCTGGCTAAACCTTCCGAGCCGCTCTGAATGGCTTGGGAAGTGGCTCTTTGAGCTGATTGACTTAAAATGCGGCCTGTTTTCAAGCCGTTTTCTACCATTTCACCAATCTTGATGGCCTCCGCGAATGGTTTGCCCATTGCAGACATCATATTTTGAAAATAATCGGCCTCTTGGGCCAGTAAGAAGACACTGACCATCTCGGCTTCATCCATCAGGGGTTTTACCCTGGCCGCTTGTTCACGCCATTTGATAGAGTATTCTCGAAAGCTTTCTGATGCCTTCTTTTTGAGGTTGGATAAAGAATTTCTGTCTGGAGCTATGTCCACATTGTATTGGAACTGTCTTACAAAATCTTGGGCTAGGTCATCCCATATGTGCCAACGGGAGATGTCTTGGTCTATATACCATTCAGAAGCAATTCCGGTGAGGCTTTCTCCAAAGTAGGCCAATAACAACTCCTCTTTTCCATCGGGTCCTCTCAGCTGGTTATAGTATCTCTTCAAGTGGGCAATCGGGTCTCCATGCCCGTCATATCTTTCAATCTTTGGTGTCTTAAAGTGTCACAACCCAACTGGAGGGTCATGACTATCACTCGGGCCATACTTGTCGAGCACCAACGTACATTTTATCTAACCTTCCTTATTATCTTTAAAGGCCGACAAGATCAATATAAATGGTAGACATGGATCATGAATATCCAACAATGAAAGATAATGTCATGAACATACATAACATGGGACGATAAGACTGTCAAGAAACTATATATAAGGTACGAGCTACCATGCTGCCATGAAAGACTATACAACAAAAATCAGCCGACAAGGCATTCCAAACCATACATGACTCGACACCTATCTATGAGCCTCTAAAGGAACATAAGTGCTGCAACATTGCCAGAACAGGGCCCCGACATACCCATAATGTCTATAACAAAAACGCATACCAAGACCACGACAAGTCTGAAGAAGGGATCTCGCCAATAACCGCTGAACTGGACATCCTACTGTGGTGGGGGAGCTGCGTCTACCCGTCTATCAGGGCCTGCAGCACGACATGCAGCGTCCACAAATAAAAAGGACGTCAGTACGAATAAAGTACTGAGTATGTAAGGTAGGAAAGCATAAGTAAGAACAGTAATGTAAACAGTGATAGAGAATCTACAACCTGTGACATCTGGGTACGTCTAAGGGCTACTGACATGAAATACATGATACATACATATATATACATAAAATTTTAAAACATACGCCTTTGTGGGCATCACTATCATCATATCGTACCCGGCTGTAATAGGCTCGGTAAAACGTACCCGGCCATCATAGGGCTCGGTTGAATCATACTCGGCCATGTGGTGCTCGGTAAAACCCAACTGATCATTGGTTGCACAATAGGTGTAGTACCCGGCCGACTATAGCGCGGCTAGGTAGAGTAAAATAGATACATATATATGATGCATGCTGGACTCATTGGAATCACATTTTGAACCTTTCGGAGTGACGTAAGGTCGGTATCCTTCGTACACGTTATTAGGATTAACTCTTCATCAAGAATCTTATAAGAATCAGGAACTACCAACAACATTGATAATATAAGAATAAGAGAAGTAACATCAATATCAATCGTTTCATAAGAAGGGCAGCAATGTAAGTACTGCTAGCTTCTAAGAGTAGAGTATCTTTGGGAGCTCGTTCATTACATTATGTACAATCGGAGTCGTGCAAAAGAATGAAGGGGATAGCCTCACATACCTTGTATATACTGCCCAACCTCAAGCTATGCAAATGTCACGACTCCTTAGTCTACAATAAGAGAAATGACACTATCATTATCGTTTAAGCGTCGTAACTATTATGTATCGACCGCAACCTATTTTACGATGAAACGAAAAGCACCTCCCCTATTTATATGAATTCCCACAAGTCAAGACAATCACCAAACAGCCCAAACAACATCATTAATAATCATATTGAGCCTCCCAAAATAGTCCACCAACCAACAACATTACTACCAAGCCTTTCGATATATTTTTCACAAGTTCTAGCTTCAACGACTTAGTCGCAACTTGGATAATCTTAAATATATAGAGAGCAAGAGGTTCCTTACCTTTAATCAGAAAGAACAACTCCAATTTGACCTTAATTTTCCACGAAATATCCCTCCAGTTCTGCCACAAGAACAAGGAAACGAAACTAGCAATCAATCGGGTTTTTCGGCACTAGAATTACTTTAGAAGATTAGAAATAACCTAGGGTTGATATTAAAAACTTGAGGGAGTATTTACAGAACATAAAACACTTAAAACAACCTCCCACACGAGCTGGAACAACACAAAAATCAGCAACAACAAGAAGAACAAGAAACTTACTAGTGCCACGGGATTCCCGATGCTTGATTTGTGTTGTTTGCCCTTTGTTTGGGTGCATCTTATATATATCCATATGTCTTAAACCGCCTATGTGGGCCCCATAGAGAGCTGCTTGGCGCAGTCTCGCAAAAACGCGAATATCTCTATATTCTGGGTTCGTATCAACGAACGGTTTAATGCGTTGGAAACTAGACTCATAGATCTTCAATTTGGTGGGTAGATCAACCCGTAATTCCAAGCACATTGGGAGAAAAACATAGTAATATTTGACCTAAAGTTTAAGTAAACTTATAAACGTAAGTTGCGACAACTTTTGTCGACTTTTGTTTCATAACTCGCTTGACTTCAAAACTTATGATATAGATACTATATGATTCAAATAACTTAAAACATGACCTCTTGGGACAATTAAGCACCTCTAGGTTTACCCGAAAATACGGGTTACAACATCCTTAATTCGTTTAACTTCTAATACTTGTTATCCACTCCTATATACCCTTGTATTGTTTAAGACCAATAGGATTAACTTCTTATCATCTCAAAGATAATCTCTTCTTGGATTTACGTCGACTAACTTATGGTGTGATCTAAGGTACGTGAATTTGGGTTGTAACATAAAGCCCATAGGTAGATGCACGTGAGGGAACATGCACAGATCAACATATGACATGCTCTTTTGGCCACTCAGGCCCTGTATATTCTTGAGGCTTTGCTCGATGCTTCATATTTTTTTTGTCATCTCCTCTTGTTCAGGATTCCTCAAGACTCTCTCTTGTTCCAAATGAGATTCAGATTGCGAGTGCTGAGGATAGGAATTCGGGGTAACCCGATCGACGTCCAATTGGAACTGGCGAGCTTGGAAAGTGAAGGTTGATGGTTCAAAGCTTTGCCGAGGCAAAGTTGGCTGTGCCATGCTAGCGGATGGTGGTGCAGTGAACATAGTAGATGGCATTCCTGAAGATGGTGCCTGGGGCCGAACCTCAGAAGGCATTCCAGTGAAGTTTGTTATCATGGTGGGGAACCCGAATGGCATGAATGGGTTGGGTACTGAGATCGAGACATTGGTAGTTCCTCCTGTCCTCGGGATTAACTCGGGGAAGCCAGGGATAGTACTGGGTGGCTCCCTGCCATTGGACCATGCATCCTGCATTTCTAGCATGCGGCATTTTAGCCTTCTATTCTCCTCAGCAGTTACTGACTTTGATTGTGGGATAACCGATGTAGGGCTATCCTCGGACTCAACGATAGGTAGATGACTCTTTGAGGCCATTGCGATACTTCCTTTTGATCTTGTGAAATAAGGGTGTGAAGCCAGAATACCACCTCAAAACCAACCACCGAAAAACAGGACCTTGATCTTGACAGCACAACAAACCGGTTAGTTTAAGATATTTAACACATAGGGAATCACATATTGGGGAAGCAGTGCACCTAAGCAGTCAAACGCTTTCTAAGATGTTTTGCAACGGCTATGTGTTTCATCCCGGCTTAATTGTTTCCCTCTTTTGCTTTCTTAATTACTTTCTTTTAGGGTTATGATCGAATCCTATGTGGATTGCCTACGTATCATGACGCCGCATGAATCAGATCATTACATAGTTTAAGGAATAAATATAAAGTACAAAGTGCATTTTTCATTTCATTAATAAAGATAACTTTTTTTGGTTTTTCATTACAGGGAATTAAAATACAGACAACTATATAAAAAGAAATAGTACAGACTCAAAACTCTAGAAAGCAGTAAAGTACAGACTCAAAAATTAGATAATCAAAAGTACATGAGGGCCTCTACTAGTCTTCTTGGAGCCTGTGTGGCATTAGCTAGTCTTTGCGCGGGCCTGCGCGCAATGTATTCTTGAAGACAGTCCAAATCATCCATCACCTGGTGGACGAAGGTCATCATAGAAGCGAAAAACGTGGACCTAGTCATGTTTTCACATTCGTGATATTTCATCATGACATAGTCAGCTATTTCCTTAATCCTGGTTCTGATGACTCCTTTCTCTTGAAGCAGACACCCAATTTGTTATGCCCGGGCTTCCAACACTTGTGTACTTGTGTTTTTTTTGTCCTGTAGCTGTTGCACGATTTCTTCTAGTTGGCAGATTATTGCGTAGCAATGCTCTTTTTCTGTTTTAAAATCTTTGGTTTGCTGGACCATTTCATTCCCAAGGGCAAATAGTTTTTCCTTTAGGATTGTTATTTCTTTGCCATATTTCTACCTCAAATGGTGGGCATGTTCTTCTGCTCCCTTAGTTAGCTTTGTTTGAGCATCTAGCAAATCGTTTTCAATTTTTATCAAGTCAGCTGCATAGTCATGGACCTTCATCCTTAAGTTGTTGATGATCTTTTCATCCCTCTTGCTTCTTACAGGCATTTTAGCGGCTATTCTCATATTCCGGAGTTGGGCTCGGAGCGCCTCATTCTCTCGGGTTAATTGTCTCTTTTTACCTTCAGCTACTTGTGCCTATAAGTCATTGTCGAATGCGAGATTCCTCAGTTTTTCCTCCAGAGCATGGATAGTTGACTGATATTTCTTTTCTTTTTCTCCCCAGGCTAACCATTCTTGGATTTTGTCATCAAAAGCTTGAACATGAAGCCTTTTGGCCGGCCTTTATGGCTCGGGCTTTGGTTCCTCATCGATGCAATTTCTTTTCTCAAACCATGTGGCATAGCCCGAATCTACTTCGCCTTTGGCAAGATCAGGTACTTGAGTATCCTCTTTCAAGTATCGACACCCATTCCAGATTTGTTGAATTAAGGCTTCTGGAAGTGGGGCTTCGGGATGTAGCTCAATAACTTGGGTACTCAAGTCTTCATCCTCAGGAACTACTTGATATCTTCCCAATTGCCTCAGGACCCTTTGGGGTGCATATGGTTGGACACTTCTCAGGCCCATCAATAGCAAATAATTCTTCGTGGCTGACATATATATAACTTCCCTCGCCGGGAGCCATCCTAAAGTCCACTCAATCTGATTTTTCCTTAAAGTTCTCAAGTGGACGATCCAAGCTTCATCTCCTTCCGGGGAGTTGTAATCTTTTACTCTTTCTTCATAGCTTTCAATGAAGTTGTTCTTGCTAGGACCGTAGTTCATGAATTTTGGGTGATGGTGAAGGTGTTCAATTAGCCATATTTGTAGAAGAATGTTGCGACCTTTAAAGAATGTCGCCCCCGACTTACAGCGTGTCAATGCCCAATAGATATCCGAAAGTATTAGTAGAGCCAGTGTGTGATCCTCCTTGGCAATTAGGACTTGAGCAATTCTAGCCATACGGATATCAACCGTCCTCTTTTCATTTGGAAAGACCATGACACCAAGAAATGCCACTATGAAGGCGAAAAGATGGTGAACTTTCCAAGTATCATTGCTTTGTTTGTTGTTCAAACCTTTTTCATGCGTTTCAAACCCCTCTGGATGCCCATACCTGGAGTACAGGAAGTATAATGAGCAGCAGCCTTCGACTACATGGTTCTTTTTTATTTGCTTACTGATGTTCATGATATCAAAGAAACGGCGCACTGACATAGGTCTCCGGAAGATAAGCTGTTGATTTCACAAACCCCGACCAAAACCTGTATACCCCGCTATTTCCTCCAAGGTAGGAGTGAGCTCAAAGTCTGAGAAGCAGAAAACATTACGAACAGGATCCCAAAAGGTCACTAAAGCCTTGATTAAATCATTTCGTGGCTTAACTTTTATGATATCGGTGAGAGGACCTAGATGTTCGACTACCCAGTCCTGACCCTCTTTGTCTAGGTCATACCACCACATTTGGAGCTGTAGTGGAGCTTGCTCTACGGCATTCAATGGTGGATTCTAGACGGTATCCATTCTGTACCTGTGGATGGGTAGGGTTAAGGTTGCCTCTAATTTTGAAAGACAAGACCAGCAGACTTTTTTTGCAATGACCAGTTTTAATTTTAAAAGAAAAATCACCTAAAAGTGGCTATTTGCGCAACATCGGCCAAAATGGTCATTTTTGCAATAGTGGCCCCTTCTTACTTTTGAATAATGTTTTGAGGCCGAAGCAAGGTACTTTTTTGGGAAAAGTGACAGACATGTCCGTTCTCAGCGAAAATAGCCCTTCGACAATGTAAGGTGTTCTAACCGAAGCTCGGTCAGTTTTATTTTTTGACTAATGGACATATTTTTTTTATTTGAAAAAAAATGGGGTCGGTACCGATAAGGTTTGCCTACGTATCTTACACCCGGTGAGAATCAGACCCGCGTAGTTCGGTCAGTTTTGACATAATTAGAAAAATACGATAATGACTCACTTTCATTTTTGAAATACATTTTCTTTTTCTCATTTTTTTTTCAAATATTTTGGCAGAGTTTTAAGGCATTTTTAAATACCGGGGTTTTTGAACCGGGTGAATTTTCTCTCCTACCTCACTCTTGGTTTTTCTGTTGTTTTTATTTTCTTAACCGGTCAACAAACAAACCGAAACAGATAAATGCACACATAGCAGGTAAGATGCATCAGGATGGTCTTTTCTTTTGGGTACACCTGTCCTAGACGGATCCAACCCCTGTGTTGAGTCCCCTAAGTCAAATGCACGTGATGCAAACAAACGTACCTACTAGGGATCCGGCGTGAGGCTATGTTATTCTAGGTTTAAACCTGGGGGTGTGTTCTAGACATGGCTTACCCAAGAAGACAACTTGAGATGAGATGGGAGCGACGTACCGGGAGCATGAAAGTCTACCCGGCCTAGTGGTTGATCCATCATCGTTCTATTTGGTATGACCTCTAATAGAAAATTGGGCCACGCGTACGTGTGCACCATATTTTTAGAAGACTTAGAAGGGAGGCGTAAGAAGACAATTTAATACAGTTCAAATAATATCAAAGCTGTAAATGAGCGGTAATTAGTACATTAGGCCCACAAACACAGTAATATCAACAATCAATAAAGCCAAATATAGATCACATTAAGAAGCTCGAATTCTGAACCCTGAGCTGTCATACCTCTTTTTTCCCCGTAGAAGGATATAAAGGAGTTTTTCTAATTTATGTGATATTAATCGAAATAGGATTATTTATTTATTTCAGAGTTTCCACTTGGAATAATTTATGGTGTCCCAAGTCACCGGTTTATTTGAAATCCTAAATCGAGGAAAATATGACTTCCTTTAAAGTCTGCGAAACCAGAAAAACTAGGTAAGGAATTCTGTTAACCCGGGAGAAGGTGTTAGGCATTCTCGGGTTCCGTGGTTTTAGCACGGTCGCTTAGCAATTTATACTTGGCCTATTTTGTCTAATTACTCATTTTAGGACCTATGTTTATTTTTACCTTTTACCGATATTAATCACTTATTAATCCGTATTTAAAGAATTAACTTAAGATGAGTTACGCGTACGTATACCTAATTCCTAACACTTATTTTATTTAAGAACAAGATTTGATCAAAGTTGTGCGAATACATACTTTGAATTTATTTGAAAGAAACGTATTCAAAAAATCTGCGCCTAAAGCATTTCTACGAGTGTTTGATTAGGGCATTTTATTTACTAATGTTTGACCATGGTCACGCGAACATATACCTTGGTTTATCTTGGGCATCACAACTATGTCACACATGCATGTACATAATTATAATAATTAATCCAATCTAAATTATACCTAAAATTGTGATTATGTCTCTAAACAAAGTACCCTATGTCATGTAACTAGGTGTAAAGGTTCCAAAACGATGTGAGATATTTATTTAATCACATGGGGTAGCTTGTGTATTAGCTGCCAAACAGGCCCAAATTTTAAAGTTTGGGGCCTGACAAGGACCGAGTCCCAATGAACTCTAGCCCAAGACATATATTGTCTATTACTCAACGGTTAATGAATTTAAATCTAAAGGGACTTGGGCCTGACTGAGTCTAGATGAATCTGGCCCAAAATAATGTTATTAAGCATTCAATCAATTAAACACATTTAATTCTGGAAGATTCGGGCCTACTAATGAGTCCAAATGACTCTGGCCCAATATCCACTTGTGGATAAATAAATGAATTTAAAAGATAAGATTTGGGCCTAATGATAATGAGTCCAAGTGAACTCTAGCCCAATGCATATTTGTATGAATTTTACCTATATTTTGTTTACCTTTTAAAACAGAAGTAAAAAGGGTTTTTGAATAAATCGAAATTTTGTTAAATTTCGGGCAATCTTCCTACTGATTTGCCTAAGTCTTTATTTCGAAATGCTGGTTTTTAAAACTCATTTGTATTTGAAAATCTTAAAGTGTAAAGGCCATTGATCAACTCA